CGTTTTTGAGGGATTTAGCCTCAGTCCATTTCGCGCTGCCCAGCTCGCCACTGCAGCAGCATCTGCACCGACAGCATCGATAAGTTGACCTATGCGTTTAGGCCTAGCGTGCGCATAAATCTGCGTGTCATCGGCGTAGATGATGTGACGGGATTTTCTCAGTACCTCCGGCAGATCGTTTATGAATATCGAGAAGAGCAGAGGCGAGAGGACACTGCCTTGAGGCACACCAGACGTGATTTGTCTATCAGACGTTAAAGAGCCATCTTCTCTTTGGACTGCGATTGATCGCCCAGATAAGTAGCTAGCGAACCAGCGAACCGTTTGGTCGTCACAGCCAATCGAACGAAGCTTCCGGACCAGGAGGAGGTGGTCAATCGTATCGAATGCCTTGGAAAAATCAAAAGAGACAAGTAGGGTGATCATCCTCTTGTCGACCGCCAGCCTCACCGATTCTGTCAACTCAAGAAGAGCTGTCTGAGTGGAATGTTGTGGCCGAAAGCCATGCTGTTGAGCATCAAGGAGCTGATGCTCCGTGAGATAAGCGGACAGCTGAGCGTGAGCCAGTCGCTCCAAAACCTTCGATAACTCAGGCAACATCGAGATCGGACGCGTGTCCGACGGTGATTCAGGCGACGATGACTTTGACAGTGCAATAATTTTCGCAAGCTTCCAATCCGAGGGAAAGACACCGGTGGCGAAAGATGCGTTGGCTAGTTGCATTACGTATTTACAAAGGGCTGGAGATGCGAGCCGTATCGCTGACGATGAGAGACCATCCGCACCACAGCCTGACGATGCGCACCTCCTCAGTGCTCTAGCGACGTCCTCATATGACACTGGGCGAAGCGAGAACGTGGCGGCAGTATCACGCAGCGGCTCACTGCACATCTGGTCGACCTCCTTCAGATGAAGAGGCGGTGTCGCTGACGAGACACCAGCATAGTGCTCGCATAACGTTTCCGGTGAGAAATGTAGAAGAGGTGATGGGTGACCATGAGAAGAGAGACCGAGGTTTTTGAGAATCCGCCAATAGTCATTTGGGGAGGCCGCCTCATCGATGCGCGATCGAATGTAGTTGCTCTTAGCCGTATCAAGCCTGTTCTTGAGGCTTCGTCTGAGTGACTTGAAGACGTTGTATGCCTCCACGGTGCGACGTCGCTTACAGGCCTTAAAAGCACGATCTCTTGAACGAATAAGGTTTCGGATCTCCTGGGTCACCCACGGCTTGGCTCGATCCTTGAAAACCACTGAGGTCAGCGGGGCCGCTGCGTCGAGAGCCGTATTGAGGCTTACTGTTATTGCTGAGACTAGATCGTCAGGGCAAATTTCGGTCGCAGTTTCACCGTTTCGATCGGGTGAGCGCTGCAGAGAAGAATCGGAGATCCGGCTCAGACGGTTGACCTCAGTACTAAGTAATTCTTCTAGGTGAGTGTTGAAAGTGGTGCTATTGACACGCGAAATTTTGCGTATTTCACGCGTTGCGGTAGGCATACGAGGCATTAGTATCTGATAGTTGAATTTAATAAAATGATGACCCGCAGCAAAAGGAGAGTCTGAGATATGGTGATTGAGTATTAGGTCCGGGTCGCTCGTGATAACCAGGTCTAGGCACGACTCATGAATCGAGCCATCCTCGTATATCACGTGATGAGTCGGCTGAACACTCGCTAGGTGAAGATTGTACGTCTCCAACACACTTGACAAGTAGCGAGCATGTCGATTGTCAGTAGACATGTCGATGTTAAAGTCGCCAACGATGATGGTATGCATGTATAAAGGCAGGTATTCAGCGATCGATGCGAAAAATGCGTGCAGATAAGACGCCTTTGGACGCCTATAAACGACTGCCAACAGCAATTTGAAGTTACGCTGCGAGATCTCGTAGATGGCAAATTCTGGCACATTTGCGTATATTGGATCAGAGTAGAGTAAGGGCGAGATCATAAAATCAGAGCGAGCATACAGACCCAGACCACCTCCTTCTCGACGCAGACGATCATGTCTGTGAAAATTGAAATTGGGTAAGCGAAGTAGATTGGAGTTAAAATCGGGTTTCAAAAAGGTTTCAGTTACTGCGATTAAGTGAAAATCATTTTTATTTATTACGGGTTCTAACAGAGAAAAATTTGTGGAAAGACGATTGATATTTGTTAAGCCAATGGAAAGTGCGTTTGAAGATGAGCATGTACTAGAGTTCAGCGAGGACGAGCCGGTATTATTTCATGAAGTGTGTGGTTTCAGCTTGGTTAAGTCGGCCTCGCTGTCGATCGGAATCAGCGTTGATTTACGCGTTTGGCGCATAAAAATGCGAAGACCTCGGACAATCGGCGGTAGGTATTTGAGAGCACGACTTGCCGTCTGGCATTTTTTGAATAATTCGTACAGTGGACCGGGGAGTATGACCGACATATGTAGTCTGTCAGGACCATCGTGCTCAATGCCAAAAATAGGGCCAATGGGGAGCAATCTCAGCCGAGGGGCTGCCGCCAGCATCACATCGCGAGCACCAGCCGATGCAAGGCGCACAACCATTGTTCTCCTAGTGATACCTGTCGATGTAGACGCCGTCGCAGCGTCTGCAGAGGCCTGGGTCCGCGGCAGCCATGAGCGCACTTTCAGAATGAGCGGGGCGAGACGGCTCAGCTCAAGAGCATCGAGGACCAATTCGGCGGTTTTAACGCTATCTGTTTCCACTTCGGTTGGAATTCCCGCTATGCGCACCTCACAAAGATCCGCCGATGACAGTAGATCAAGTTGCGCAGCTGAGACAGGGCGAGAGGCGGCATTCAGATCACCACGAAGCGCGGTGATCTCGTTGAGATTGTTTGTCAAACGGCCACGTAGGTCTGTGATCTCGCTCGATACTCTTTGATCAAGTTCTCTGATCTCGCGCGTATTTTCGGCGATCAGTCCCTTCTGCTCACCCTGTTGCCTCGCAATTTCCTCAACTCGTGTGTCAAGGGCACCAAACCGCGCGTCGAGAGAGTCGATGCGACCCCTGATCTCGCCAAGAGTGCCATTGAGACGTTTCTCATAGGCTGTTAACCACGCCGGAGCGCCGTCACCACCCACCGGCAGTGTACCTTTCTGATCTGTGCGAGACATCTTCACTATTTTTTCAGTTGACGTCGATGGCGGTGACGAACGCGATCTTTTTTCAGGCTTCTTCACAGGTGGTGTGCGCCTGTCAGACGGTGACACTCCAGCAGACAGACCAGGCTTGGCTTTGAGAGCTTCCTTTGCAGCGGAAGACACACGAGCAGCCGATGACGAGCAGCGAGTACAGATGTACGGCTTTGGAGTGGGAGCAGGCAGACAGCTTCTGTGGGCACTCGTTGTACAGCGGGAGCACTGGACTTTTCCCCTTCTTCCCAAGTCACCTTTGCACACAGTACACAAGTCCCCACTATTTACACTTTCCATTTCATGCACGACGGGCTATGCGTAAACACTTGCGCGAGGGTCCAAAATTGATCCAGGTGCGCCAAAGGTGCCAATAATATCCGAGGGCCGCGCAGCCAGGGGCCGATGATGACGATAAATTTGCGAGAACGTCCTAACCTCCAGTGGAAATTCCGAGCTGGTTTTTTCTTTTTTAACAAAAAAGCAAGGATCGTGCGGCTTCCAGATTGCGGCAGGGACCTTGCTATTTGTTTGCGAGCAAGTTAAACCTGTAATCAAAAGGATATCCAAGAAAAAACAAGCAGAAATGGCACAACTAAGACGGAGCGACGAATGTAACGTGTGTTGATACTCACAGAGAGAGAGAACGAGAGAGAGACAGAGCGAGCCCACCAACAGTAAAAGAAAGAGAGAACGGGAAGAGAGCGACAGCAGCAGGCACGCGCGTTGAAAAAAGCAGCAGCGAACCCACCAACAGTTAAAGAAAAAGAGAACATGAAAAATGCGACAGCAGCAGCAGACACGCGCGTTGAAAAAAACAGCAGCAAGCCCACAAGCACAAAAAGAGAGAAAGAGTACTAGAAGAGAGCGACAGCAGCAGCAGACACGCGCGTTAAAAAAAGCAGCAGCAAGCTCACCAGCAGTAAAAGACAGAGAGAACGAGAGAGAGAGAACGAGAAGAGAGCGACAGCAGCAGCTGACTCGCGCGTTGAAAAAAGCAGCAGCGAGCCCACAAGCAGAAAAAGAGAGAGAGAACGAGAGAGAGACGGAGCGAGCCCACCAACAGTGATAGAAAGAGAGAACGGGAAGAGATCGACAGCAGAAGAAGACACGCACGTTGAAAAAAGCAGCAGCGAGCCCACAAGCACAAAAGAGAGAGAGAGAGAACGAGAAGAGAGCGACAGCAGCTCAGACACACGCGTTGAAAAAATCAGCAGCGAGCCCCCAAGCATAAAAAGAGAGAGAGATTACTGCAGAGAGCAACTGCAGCAGCAGTCATGTGCGTTGAAAAAAGCAGCAGCGGACCCAGCAGCAGTAGAAGAGAGAAAGAAAACGAGAGAGAGACAGAGCGAGCCCACCTACAGTAATAGAAAGAGAAAACGGAAAGAGAGCGACAGCAGCAGCAGCAGACACACGCGTTGAAAAAAGCAGCAGCGAGCCTACAAGCACAAAAAGAGAGAGAAAGTACTAGAAGAGAGCGACAGCAGCAGCAGACACGCGCGTTGAAAAAAGCAGCAGCGAGCTGATAAGCAGTAAAAGAGAGAGAGAGAACGAGAAGAGAGCGACAGCAGCAGCAGACACGCGCATTGAAAAAATCAGCAGCGAGCCCCCAAGCATAAAAAGAGAGTTTGAGTTTGAGTTTGAGTTTGTTTATTTGATTGGACCGTGGGGTGAAACCCCATGTGGCCCAGGTGTACAATAGTACATATAATAAGTCAATGAACTATTATACAGAATGAGAGTATTATAAAAAAAAAATAAAGTATTTACAATTGCCGAAAATCAGAATATAACATTATTATTACTTTTAGCTAGCGTAGAGCAGAAAAACATGAGACAGCAGATGCAATCTGCGTGAGTAAGATTCTCTCTGACTAGGGCCAGAGAACCAGCTCGTTGATGAGCGGGGGTGGAATTGGATCGATGTTTTCGTTGTGGCAACGAGTGATCCAGTCTGCCTTGTCAAGGCAGAATAAGTGGTGGTGAAGAGATGCGCGATAGTCTATGGATCTATTGGTGAGGTCGATTTGAAATGGAAGTGAGTTTATGATGCGTGAGGCGGTGATAAAAAATGAATTGTGAAATGATGAGGTGCGAGGGGTTTTATAATGCAATAATGGGGCTTGCTGTCGCAATGAGTGGCGAATCTGCCGATCAGATGAGAGCGTGAAGAGATCTCGGAGAGCGCTGGGCTCGCCCTTCCGTAGTATATTGAGCGCCAGTAAAACAAGCAAGTACTGGCGACGTCGCTTAACTGACAGCCAGCCGAGAGCAAGACGATACGGGGTCACGTGTTCGCGAGCAGGTATTGTCCCGAAGACAAAGCGGACGCAAGCATTTTGGAGACGCTGAAGTCGGAGGTCGGACGTAGCAGATACGTCATTGTAGACAGCAGCCACATAATCCAAGTGAGGCAGGACCAGCGCGACTGCAAGTTTGGCTCTGAAGTCTCGATTTAGTGCGTGTCTGTAAAAACGCAGCGAGTATCGTGCCAAATGGCATCTGGATCTGAGGGTATTAATGTGATTTATCCACGTCAGAGTCGGACAGATGGTAATGCCCGAGACACTTAATACTCGTCGAGAAGGCGATGTTTGTGCCATTCACTGAGATTACAGGCAGTGCGTCTGAGTCAATGCCGGACACATAGGCGAGACTGCCGAGAATCATAGCCTTGGTTTTAGCTGAATTGAGGTTGAGCTTGTTTTCTATAGCCCAGGATGAGACTGCATTGGCATCAGTGTTGATGTTTGCAATTAGCTCTCTAATTTTTGACGGGAAGTGATGTTGAAAAATGGCAGTGTCGTCGGCGTAGATGATGTGCTTAGAGGACACCAAAGCTTCACGTAGGTCATTTATGAAAATGGCAAAAAGTAGGGGCCCAAGAACAGAGCCTTGCGGAACGCCCGAAGAGATCGGCAGCGGCTCAGAGAGAGTGCCGTCGTCGCCTCTGACTGCGATCTTGCGATCGCTGAGGTAGCTGGCAAACCACTCCACAGCAGCTGCATCGCAGCCAATACGGCGCAGCTTAGTGATCAATACGCCGTGGTCGATGGTATCGAAAGCCTTTGAAAAGTCAAAAGACACCAAGATGGTGACCTTTCTCTTGTCCACCGCCACCCGGACCGCCTCAGTGAAATCAAGCAATGCCGTCTGCGTTGAATGACCGGGTCTAAAACCGTGTTGCTGGGGGTCAAGCAGATTATGCTGAGCCAGATGAGTTGAGAGCTGTGCATGAGCAAATCTCTCGATGATTTTGGAGAGCTCGGCCAAGAGCGATATGGGCCGAGTATCAGATGGAGACTGCGGAGTGGGGCATTTAGAAAGCGCAATGACCGACGACAGCTTCCAAGCGGATGGAAAGACTCCTGTCGCAAACGATGAGTTTGCCAGATGTGCGATATGCTCAGCCAGGGTGGAAGAGGCGAGCTTGAGCACAGACAGTGGTACACCGTCGGGCCCGGTGCTGGAGGAGCTGCACTTGGCCATTATTGCAATCACGTCCGATGCTGTGACATGCTCAAATGAGAACGTAGGTGTAGTACGAGACAAAGGTAAGTTTTGAGCATTTTTGATAGACTCGATAGTAAGCGGCGGTGAGGCAGATGAGACGCGAGCGTAGTGCTGACAGAGTGCAGCCGATGAAAAATACGTGAGCGGGGATGGGCTTTTTTGAGCAGTGACTCCAATTCTTTTTAGAACGGACCAATATTTATTGGGTGATGACGCAGCAGCCAGCTCACGAGAGATATAGCCGTTTTTGGCCGAGTCGAGTCGATTTTTGAGGATACGACGATGATATCGATAAGCTGCCAGAGCCTCGGCGGTGCGGCGTCGGCTATAAATGCGATATGCACGATCGCGAGTGCGCATGAGAGAGCGAAGCTCAGCACAGAACCAAGGTTTGGCTTTAGGTTTGATGACTGTGGATTGAAGAGGTGCATGTGCATCAAGTACTGAAAGCAGGCTCGTAGTGATGGTAGCTTGAACGAGGTCTGGATGCATGACGTCGGAAAGAGAGCCATGGGTGGTCGCAGGGTGATAAGGGCCTATGAGTGAGAGGTCTGCACCTTCGAAATTGTTGCGTAGTTCGGACTGAAGATCGAGGTTGAATGAAGTATGATCAATGTGAGACTGTTTGCGAAGCAATAGAGTTTTCGGTAGAAGAACGGGAAGTGAGATGCTGAGTTTAAATGAAATGAAGTGATGGCCGGCGGCAAAAGGGGTTTCGGATATATTGAAATTATTTATAGATGTGGGGTCGTTTGTGAATACAAGATCCAAGCAAGATATGTGCAGGGATCCGTCTGTGTACGATACTTGATGAGTGGGACTATTGCTGACAAGATGTAAATTATAAGCTTTTGTGAGATTACGAATGTAACGCGTGTGTCGGTTGCGACGTTTAATCATATTGATGTTGAAATCACCAAGAATAAGAACGTGCTTGTATTGGTGTAAAATTTCAGATATTGTGTCAAAAAAAGTAAATGGATAAGATGCTTTTGGACGACGGTAGACTACGGCAAGGAGCAGCTTAAAAGAGCAGTGCTCAATAGAGTACACGGCATATTCGGGCCTATTAAGGTAGCGCTGATCAGAGGTAAAGATGGTAGAAACCTTGAAATCGGATCTGACATATAGGCCGACTCCGCCACCTTTGCGTTTGAGTCTATCGTGATGATAAAAATTGAAACCGGGTAGTGACAGTGGACTAGTGTTGTGGGTGGGCTTTAAAAATGTTTCAGTTATTGCAATGATGTGAAAATTTTGATTGTAAACGGAGTGTTCAAGAAGAGAAAAATTTGTGCTTAATCTGTTTATATTAATAAGGCCAATTTTTAAGTTTGAGAGTGAAGTGGATGCAGTTTCGTTGGGCAGACCAGCAGACATTCATAAGGGAGCCTGTGGATGAGTAGGTTGGGCCAAGGTAGGCGAGATAGCGGGGAGAGACAACAGTCGAGCAAGGTCAGCCTCACTCGTGATGCGTACGGGGGCCGCAGCGCGCTCACGGCGCATGTGAATGCACAGATTACGCACAAATGGGCGAGGGTAGCCTCGCGACTCAGCAGCCGCAGCGCACCTACGATATAGACGGTGACGGTCGGGCGGCAAAATGACGTTCGCTCTGAGATGGCTCACACCTCCATTGTCCGTAATACCAAAAATGGTGTGCAATGATAAGCGCTGAAACTTCGGAGTGGCGGCGAGGAAGGTCTCGCGGGCGTTCGCCGATGAAAAACGAATGACCATAGTCCTCAACTCGGGATCGGGCGCTGCAACACTAGCGCTCGGCGCAGATGCAGGTGAACGGCGACGCGGAGCCCACTCACGCACTGATAATATGTGTGGAACCAGCCTGTCCAGTCCCAAGGCAGAGACGATTCGCTCAGCCACTGCACTGCTGGTGACATCAACAGAAAGGGGAATACCGGACACGCGAACCTCACAAGTGTCAAGATCTGCCACTAGTGCAACGGCGGCGGTTCGCGACTGATCGCAAACACGTCCGATCTTCGCTCGCATAGCCGTAAAAGCTCGATCGTTGTCTGACCTGATGGCAACGATCTCAGCGGTGACTCGCTCATCGAGACTGGCAATGCAGTTCGTGTTATGCTCAATGAATGCGGTGTGCTGATTTTGCGTACGCGAGAGCTCGAGCAGACTTGATTCGACGGAGGTGAGCCGGCCGTCCATTTTGGTCTCGAGGCGTTCAAATCGAGAGAGCAGAGTCTCTACCCATGGAGGAGTCGCGCCGCCGTCGGACATCTCGCTCGGACGTTCGGGCAGACACGGGCTGACGGGGGGAACGCTCTCGGACAATTGAAGGTTTGACCTTTTGACGCAAAATGCAGTCAGAGGTGAATCACGTGGGCGCTTAAGAGAGAGAGATTCCAGTGAAGCCGAACGCTCGTTAGAGCAGGTGAAATGAGATGGCGATGAAGCGCGTGAAACCGGAGCAGACGAATGTGATGTGAGAGATGATCGTTCATCGGATGCTGGCGACCACCGTTTGCACTCCGAGCAGAGAGTGATAGATTTTACCCGCAGAGTATATCTATGTATTAGATTTTCACAGCCGGTACACTTGACACAGGCCCCACCAGTCACGTTCTCGTCACTTTCACTTTGGCAGTTCTCGCACAGAGTCTTGTTTACCATCACAGGCAGCGGCGATCGAAGACTTGTTGATGTTTATGTGGACAGCGCGGTGGGAGATGCGCCGATCGTCGTGGTAGGAGATGAAAGACCTGCGCAGATTTTGAGATAAGCAGCCGATCGATGAAATTTCCTAACCTCGTATTGAAAAAAGCCGGACTCTTTTATCCAAAAAAGAGAAAATGCAAGGCGATACGGCAATGAGAATGCGGCAGCGACCTTGCAAAAAGTAGCGTGCAAGAGTGATCTGTAAATCAAAGTGCCCGTGGGCGAAAACTTAGGCAGAAACAGTAAAAATGTCGGAGCACACACAAGACACGTCTGTATCAACTCACCGTGAGAGAGAGATTACTGCAGAGAGCGACTGCAGCAGCAGTCATGCGCGTTGAAAAAAGCAGCAGCGGACCCAGCAGCAGTAGAAGAGAGAAAGAGAACGAGAGAGAGACAGAGCGAGCCCACCAACAGTAATAGAAAGAGAAAACGGAAAGAGAGCGAGAGCAGCAGCAGAAGACACGCGCGTTGAAAAAAGCAGCAGCGAGCCTACAAGCACAAAAATAGAGAGAAAGTACTAGAAGAGAGCGACAGCAGCAGCAGACACGCGCGTTGAAAAAAGCAGCAGCGAGCTGATAAGCAGTAAAAGAGAGAGAGAGAACGAGAAGAGAGCGACAGCAGCTGCAGACACGCTCGTGGAAAAAAGCAGCAGCGAGCTGATAAGCAGTAAAAGAGAGAGAGAGAACGAGAAGAGAGCGACAGCAGCTGCAGACACGCTCGTGGAAAAAAGCAGCAGCAAGCTGATAAGCAGTAAAAGAGAGAGAGAGAACGAGAAGAGAGCGACAGCAGCTGCAGACACGCTCGTGGAAAAAAGCAGCAGCAAGCCCACAAGCACAAAAAGAGAGAGAGAGAACGAGAAGAGAGCGACAGCAGCAGCAGACACGCGCGTTAAACAAAGCAGCAGCAAGCTCACCAGCAATAAAAGACAGAGAGAACGAGAGAGAGAGAACGAGAGAGAGAGAACGAGAAGAGAGCGACAGCAGCAGCTGACTCGCGCGTTGAAAAAAGCAGCAGCGAGCCCACAAGCACAAAAAGAGAGAGAGAACGAGAGAGAGACAGAGCGAGCCCACCAACAGTAATTGAAAGAGAGAACGGGAAGAGAGCGACAGCAACAGACACGCGCGTTTAAAAAAGCAGCAGCGAGTCCACCAGCAGTAAAAGAAAGAGAGAACGAAAAGAAAGCAACACCAGCAGCAGAGACGCGCGTTGAAAAAAGCAGCAGCAAGCCCACAAGCACCAGAAGAGAGAGAGTACTAGAAGAGAGCAACAGCAGCAGCAGACACGCGTGTTGAAAATAGCAGCAGCGAGCCCAGCAGCAGTAGAACAGAGAGAGAGAACGAGAGAGAGACAGAGCGAGCCCACCAACAGTAAAAGAAAGAGAGAACGGGAAGAGAGCGACAGCAGCAGCAGACACGCGAGTTGAAAAAAGCAGCAGCGAGCCCACAAGCACAAAAAGAGAGAGAGAGAACGAGAGAGAGACAGAGCGAGCCCACCAACAGTTAAAGGAAGAGAGAACGGGAAGAGAGCGACAGCAGCAGCAGACACGCGCGTTGAAAAAAGCAGCAGCGAGCCCACAAGCACAAAAAGAGAGAGAGAGAACTAGAAGATATAAGGGGGTTTTTGGGGCGTCTCAAATAATTATAACAAATTGTTCTAGGTTAAATGATAAATTGAAAGATAATAATTTATTGAAAGTATCAAATAAGATGCCTGTTCGAATTAGTTCGCGCCTATTTTCTGTACACATTGTACTTTGTTTGTATTGATGTTAAAAGCGCGACTCGTTGTAACGGCCGCAGAATTTTACTGGTCAGTCGTCGAAATACAGAGCTCGACACTCGACCACAGTGTTGTAATACTTACCAAATCGACCAGTGCGTCGTGCTATATATATTCTTCGTTATTAATTAGTTTTAAGTGTTATTTCAATTAAAGCTGTTACTAAAAAACAATCCTCAAGTTCCCGACTAATTTTGTTAAAACCCGACGGCATCATTTAACAGAGCAGAGTCTCGAGGCAGATCGGTATAGACAATTTACCCGCTCGAACTCTGATAATAAACATTTTGGTAGCAGAGCGTAGTTTTGGTCGGAACAAGATGGAGGAAATTCTCGAGGATCAGCTGGCATTAGCGGAAATTCTCAGCAACTTCAGAACGGTGATGCTGAAAGCACCAAGAGAGAAAAGAACTACAAGTTGGTTCAAAACGCAATTAGAACAACTCGAGAGTCTATGGAGTGATTTCCTTCAAGCCCACAAGAAGCTGATCCGCTGGTCAGAAAAGGACAAAGAACAGCGTCCCTATTTCCAAGACGACATGTTTGCTGCGGGCCAGAACCAGTATATCGCGGTAAAAACGGAAATTTTGGATGTTCTGAGCCCCGGCCGGAGACAGACCTCAATTCAAGCGGATTCACAGTATGCTGGAGTCAGCTTTGAGACTCCGCAATACAAGACACCACTACCGTCGATGCAGCTTCCGCAGTTTTCGGGCAATCAGTTGGAATGGGAGACTTTCAAGGGAATGTTTCTGGCACTCGTACACGACGTACCTACGTTCCCGCCGATTTTAAAATTACAATATTTGATTCGATCATTGACGGGAGAAGCAGCTAATAGGCTCAAGAACGTACAGATTGTCGGAGAAAATTATGAGAGTTCATGGCAGGCCATTCAAGCCAGGTACGACAATAAAAAAGTTTTGCTATCTACGCACATGTCGCATATCGTCAACTGCCCACCCATGCAAAGAAAATCAGTAGAAGAGGTGCGTAGACTGGTGGATCTAGTGCGCGAGTCCAAGCAGGCGCTCGATAACTTGAATGTAGAGCCGGCTCGTATGTCGGAATTGTGGCTGATTCACCACACCATTCATAAATTGGATCAATCAACGCGTCTGGATTGGGAACGACACGCCGACGAACTCACGAGCTTCCCGTCCTACGATGAGCTCATAAGCTTCCTCGAGCGTTACATACGAGTGCTGGACGCAGCTAGCACAACATCGGCAGGGCCGCAGCCATCTACATCGACTGAAAATTCGGCGGTTAAATCGGCAAAAAGCGCGCCAAGTAAATA